AGAAACGATGGATGTTGCCGCAACATCTTGACCATGGGCATCATGAGAAGCTCAACATTGTGTTTGAGGGCACATCTTTTAATGAGTGTACGATTTGCTATAGTATGTGTGCTCCACTTGAGTGTTGGTGGGAGTGAGGGATCGAGATTGCAGTGCAATTGAAGTTGAGGCCCGTGGGACTTTCGATTGGGTCATCATTAATGCTCGGATTGATGCTCAAGATTTCGTGAGTGGGGACTACTTTGCATGGTAGAGTACCAAGGAATCCCTTTTTTGTGCATGTGGCAAGTACAAGACACGTATGTCCATATACAGATTGATGGAATACTTGCTTTGATGTGTTAAGTGAAGGGATTTTTCTTCCTTTCCATGGTTGCGGGGCAATAGTGTTAGTTAGTAGGGATCGTAGACGGTTATAATTTTGTGGATTTCGCATCGTATCTGCACCAATTAGGGCGGTGATGAGTATAAATTTAGTAAGTAGTGGGCGGGTGTGGATATAAAAAGTCATACTCATCACGGGTAGTGGATAGGTGATAGGTTTAAATCCTTACCCGCCCCATATCCGCCCGCTCCGCATCCACCCGTCTCAAATCCACCCGTCTCAAATCCACCCGCCCACTAATTATCCACCATATAAAATTTAGGCCATTATAAATTTAGGCATAATTCCAAATATTATTTTGTAAATATTAAGATTTTATAGGATATGACCTATAATTTAACCAAATATTATGATATAAACATTTTTAAAATTGAAGTATGTTGTTTCTCTTATATCAAATCGGTGGGTATAGACAGGTACAAACGTGTACAGGATGGGTGGTGGCTATCAAATTAGGTAGTGGGTGTGGGGATGAATTTAAAAATGTAAACGCGTAGGCGGGTGTAGATTTAAAATTTTTATCCGTCGTAGATAATGGATAGGTGGTGGATACAATAATATTAGGTGGATATGGGGATGAGGGAAAGGATATCTACACCCGGCCTGCCCGTTTTCCATCCCCATTTGTAGGGTCCGATTACTCATACCTAGGGATCTTTGTTCTCCTTACTCGTTGATCCTTTATCTAGGATGCTATGTGTTTATTTGGTTGGATCGTGTGATGCAATAATGAGTACTCTTTTTCCTCCACTTAGGTTTAACTTCCCTAAATGAGGCACATGCTTTGAATCTTGTATTGTATGTACACTTTTGAATACAATACAAAAGAATCATTTAAAAAAACAATTTAGAACAAATAAGGTAACCATTTAAACTTTAAGAGGTAAAATATCTTGAAAATTACATTGAAGGACAACTTGGTAAAATATGTATAATTGAAAGAGCAATGGTGCATTTAAGCCTTTCTATTTTTCCTACATTGAAAAAGCCCTCACCACACTGTTTCAACCCATGTGAAGCCGTCACTACTTTGTTGGATGCCTTGAGGGATGGATTGAAGAGTGTTGGGATACGATTGTATTCTTTGAAAAATTCAAAATCTCATATGATATAATTTTTTTTATATTTTTATTGATGATATAATTTCATGCCCTTAAAATCTTGTAAATTTACAATAATTTAAATATCAAATATAATTTTATAAATTTACACCTTTAATATACAAATTTACGTTGGTTCCTTTTTCAAACCATCTGAGCAGCCACCTTTTCGAGAAGTTGACATGAAACAATATCATGTAACATGTTGGCAATAAAGCTATCTTTCATTTTCTAACCCTATTTTTTTCCTTTAAAGAAAAAAAGGGGGAAAGATGAGTTCTTTTTCAAAGTAAAATATGGCATATGTGGTTGCAAAATAAGGAGTTAAAAGCATCATATAAACATGATTAATATCCCACATCGATTTAACTCCTAATTATACACCGAGTGTCTTTGATTAGCCATAATAAAGAAGACTACTACCCGTGGCGGAGCCAACGCTGGCAAAGCTAATGGGCTTTTGGCATTCTATTGTTGCTATCTGTGAACATATGAGCAGGAGACCTTCAATTGCGACACATCCATGTAAATAGAAACTGATTGAACCCTTAAATCATGGTCATTTAATGCCCCCTTCAACTATCGCTGTTTATGCTTGCTTTTCTTGCCATCGGTTCTTGCATGTAAAACATGAATGCTTTCACTTCTTTACATTTTAATAACTTTCAAATCTTAAGATATCAGGTATGCTTTGATTTTATATTTTCTTGTATCTTATATCGATAATGATTAGGGATGTTTAGATTATTTGATTATGTATTTCCACTTAATGTTATAATATTTTTTTTTGAAATTCTAGTTCAGGTTCGAGTTAGATTTGGTCTTATGAATGATGAATTTAATCAGACTCGGATTTATGATGAAAAATTTCAATCCAAATTGTAAAAATACTGTAATTTTCTTATATTTAGGGATAATTAATATAATATCTCACTTATCTTTTTCAATCTTCTCTCTATTTTATCGAATAAAAATAAGAAAAAAATTATTGTTGTCACGTTAAATACAATTTACATATGTGACTCAAATGGAAATCGGGTTGGTATGAATTCAAGCCAATTCACCTCAACCACATATAATAAACGATATCAATTGAATTACAGTCCAACAACGAGTACAATTACAACTTGGTTGGTCTTTTGCCGTCAACAATAGCCTTTGCCTCTAAACATGGTTTTCTTTTCACAACTTTTTCTGAATAGAGAAGTGAGCCTATGAGAGACTGGGCAGATCCCATTGAAACCATTTCACGCCATCACCATTCACCTGCCGCCTTAACCCCCCCCCCCCCCCCAAAAAAAAAAAAAACAATGTTGAAGATCCCATTTTGAGTTTCATAAACCTAGGCAAAACTATAGATTTGGATTTGGGCCATCTCTTGCTGGTTTCCCATGAAGGACGCAGTCAAAGATCCGGTTACAATATATTATGCTGTAAATAATATTCTTTGTACATAATTACGCATAATTAAGGTTGCACTTATTTAATTGTTGATTGGTTTTAGAATAATGGAAATCAAACTCATAAGAATAAAAAATTTAAAATTGTATTCCCTCTATTTTTGAATTAATGAAAAATTATTTTTTAAATAAATTCACGTTATATTTTAAACACTTTAAAACTCATAATTTCTTCTAAAATTTACAATATAATTACTTTGAGGGTGTTTACGCTTTGATCATCAATCTTTTAAAAATTTTAATATACTTATTGAATTTTTAATTCATTTTCTTTATAAATATTGTTCTCGTTGTAGTTTAAAAAATGGTGACATAGCACGTTAGAGTCAACTATTAAAAAAAAAAACACTTAAATGTAAAATCACCATACTCAAAAACTTCATCATCGTTTCATGACCATCAAGCTATTCATCACCATCATTTCATTGATTTTGTCATCTTCTTGTCATGGAGCAATTTAATCTCGATTTCTTATTGTCATATGTTTTAATGCCAACTTAAAACAGATCAAGGCCATAGTTGGTGCTAAGGAATTTGGCATCAGCACTGCTAGTGTAATAACTATGGGTTCCATTATGATGGTAAATGTCAAAAGAACATTTGTCCTGTCGGCATTGCTACTCAAGATCTCGTGCTGAGAGAAAAAGAATGTTGGAGAGCCTGAACTTGTTATAAACTTTTTTTATGGTAGTTGAGGAGGTCAAGAAGATAATGTCTCAACTTGGTTTTCGAACAGTTAATGAGATGGTTGGCCTTCAGATATGCTTGAAGTTGATAAGAAAGTTCTTAGTAGTAATGGGAAGCTTGATTGATGCAAGGAAAACATAGTAATAGGTAATCTGGCTCTCTATAGAGCTACTAATTTCGAGGACAATAGAAATTTCAGGTGCCAATGCAGTCGTTCAAGTGTTGGCGACCATGGTTTTGTGAACATGATTGGTAGGATTGTTATTGTGCTTGGAAAAATTGGTAGAAATTTTGCTGCATATTTGAATGGCGGTACTACACTTATGTGGATGGAAAATTTGAATTTCGATGCAATCTTGAATTGGTAGACCTTTATAAAACTGATGATAGAAGAGGATATTTCTTATCTAAAATTGATGATCTAGTAGCATTAACGTTTTGATAACAAGATAAAAGGAAAATAAATTAAATGACGATAATGAATGGTTAGAAGATCGTGAAAAGATAATGCAACTTTTCAGTATGACGGAATTATGTTTTGTTACTGTGATGATGGGAAGAATATTAGATAATGATGACGTAAGTGAAAGAAGTCAACGAATATTAATTTAAAGAAAAAGACTTAAAAATAATTTGAACCTGCTAAAATAATTTTTTTTATCAGAAACATAATTTTTTAGGTTGAACATTATAACATTTTACGTTGAAACCGAAAATATTATTTTTTTCATAACATTTTCAATTGTAAACTCAAAATCCACCATAAATATTTTTTAAATTATAGTTAAAAAATATTATAAATTAAAAATTATCTTAAATTAAACTATCTTACAATAAAATCATCCATTTCGTAAAGATGTCTTTAATTAGCCCAATCTTTATCATACAACAGTAGTTGGGATATTACACGTTACACCTTTCAGATGGATAAAAAGGTTACCAACTTTTACCTCATCTGTTTCGTCATTGGCGCCACTGCATGCGTGTTTTGATTAGATTTGGGTATTTCATAAACTTGGGAGCCCACTGTAATTACAAACAAAAACCCATTTTCAAAAAATAAATAGTTATCACTTTTATTCTATTTTAATTATTTAACTATTTTAAAAAATAATATTTAAATTTTATTTCTTAATTTTAATTATAATTTATTATTAAAAAAATTAATAATAATAATTTATTATTAAAAAATTAATGATAATACTAATATGTCGTCACAAATAATATGAAATCAAAGAATTTTTTTATTAATTTCTCAACGATGAATGACTAAAGTAAAACCAAAATATAATATTAAATATGATTTTAAAAAAGTAATAGATGATCAAACTAAAATAAAAATAATAGGAAGAATACTAAACGTGTAATTTACCCAAATAAATCAACTAAACTGAAAATTTGTTATCATCATAATCTTATCGAGTCTTTGTTTAGACAGCATAAAATTTTCTGATGACAGAATACTTTGTTTCGAAAGAAAAAAAAACTTGGCAAAACCGCCAAAGCTGTGTTGCAAGGCAGCAATTATTAACAAATGAATTAATTGCAACTAAGCAGGGGAAGGAAAAACCAATTTTTTTCTACAGCAATCCATCAAAACTGTAGACCTTGTAATGTTCAATATATAAGTTGCTTTGAAAGTGACCTCTTAAATGCCACTGGCATCCCTCCCGAAAATAAAACGCCTCAACCAGTCCGACACCACCAATGCCCTTGTGCGCCAACTAACTTGCTTGCTGCGTTTAAAGAATAATAATAAAAAAAAAAACATTATACAGACCCTTTCAAAGGAGCAACAAGGGCACAACAGAGCTTTATATTAAACAAGTCTGAAGTTCATGTTGAACATGGAAAAGCAAGAATCTTGGCATAGAAAACTAATCCGTACCTTGCGTAGACGGAATACCAGAGCCACTGCGAACTGTGTCCGATAGAGACCCAATCACCCGGAAGTTGTGCAGCTGTTTGCTCCCCTCCCAAAGGAGCAAATTGACCCAAGTGCCTGTACCTGTAAAGACCATCACCATGCATCAAATTTAAGGTGTTATATTGATAGCTTTCCCCAAGTATAAGATGGAAATGATGCTCTTTAAATAGATAATGTTCGAATTGGACAACAACCACACACGAGGCGGGATATAAGTTCCAAATGTACCTGAAGGGGTGGAATCGATGGAAACCTGTTCCCCTGAACCTAGGAGGACCTTCAGGATTCTTTTCGCACTCTTCCATACGGTTGAAGCACTTAGCAAGATAGGCACCTTGCTGATTTGCTACCTGAAACATTTGTACATGGCTAACGTGTAAGTGTGCTTTTTGTCTTGGAAAGGCATTATTTTAGTCCGACTGCAATAAATGTGGTAGAATAATTACTTGTGCTGTTGCAGGAAGATTCTTCATCTGAGAATCGACTTCGGAGAGAGCTGCTTTAAATTCTTCGATATTGAGCTCCATGGATTCTTTTGCAGCGTCCCCTTTGGCTTCTTTCACAAGATCAACAATGTTACACTTCTGCTTGTTCTTGAGATAAAGCTCCACTTGGGGGTATCTTTCACAAATATCATCAAGGGTTTCTTGAAATTCCTTGACCGTAAGTGTTCCTGAGTTGTCCTTGTCTGCTTTTTTTAAATATTTCTGCTATATCTTCCTACACTTTATAGGAATTTAGAAGAGGAAGAAGAAAGAAAGAATAAATAACAGCCATAACTAAAATCATAAAAGAATAGCAGAAGTTTACAAATTCATACCATCACTTTCCGCTGGTTAATAGTTGCACAGTCACCGAGTGCATATATGTTATCAAATCCCTCAACTCGCAGCCATTCATCAGTTGCTAGAGCACGCCTATTACCCTTTTCCAAAAGAATCAATATTGGATCAGTGAGTATAATTAGAAGAAAGTAAACGTACTTGTGAGAGTGACATCGAAAACACAGTCAGTGGAGGATGTAAAGACTTCAATGAGATAACTTTTAGTTACAAAAGTATATCACCTGACCAATTTGCTTCATAAACTCCTTTATGAGAGGGCGAGGCCCAATGCCAGTTGACCAGAGAACCATACCGTATGGAGTAGAAGTGGTTTTGCCGTTACTTCTGGCTTTTGTAGAAATTTCATTTTCATTTATTCCTGTGACCATTGACCCCAATTTCACATCAATGCCGTCTCTTCCAAATTTATTTTCTGCAAAATTTGTGATTCTTTTGTCAAACCTGAAAACAAGAATTCATTAGAAAACTTCAGATTGTGAAATAAATGGCTTGAATGTAAATAATCCGAAATGCTTTCTAAAGTTATTTCATGTAAATATGCGTAAAAATACTAAAGCTTCTCAGTGATAAAAGTTACCAGGATAACTACGATGACAGGAAATCGAAGTACTTGTACGTTAATTTTAGGCTTCGCATTCTTACATGTTCAAAATATGATCTGTAGCCTCAAGAAGTGTTATTTTCACCAAGTCTTTGACCTTTGGATATAGTTTGACAACATCCTCGTTGACAAAGTCATGAAGTTCTGCAGCAAATTCTACACCTGTAGGGCCACCGCCAACAATGACAAAGTGAAGGATTTTCTTTCTTTCCTCTTCACTTAAACATGGTAAGCTTGCCTTCTCAAAGGACTCAATAACATTCTTACGAATCTTCTGAGCATCGTCAATTTCCTGCACATAGAATCACGTTGCTTAAATGAAAGAAAAGAAAACAAAAATATTGTTATAAGAAATGGAAAAGGCTCTTATCACCGTAAACTCCAAAATCCTAAAGGCAGTATGGAAACAGACATTACCTTTAAGAAATGGCAATTTTCCATGACACCAGGAGTATTAAAGGTGTTAACCTGAGCTCCCACAGCTATAATAAGGTAGTCATAGTCTACTGCAAATTCTTCTTCCCCCTTTGAATGGCTATCTATAGTAGCGCGACAGTAAATTTTCTTATTTTGAGGATCTATTTTGACACATTCAGCTTCAGAGAAACTGATGTCAACATTTTTCTGTTCAAACATGAAGCAGGAAAACCATAATCGGCATCCATCTAGAACTGATTTTTCTGAATTCCACAATGTACATCTTCATAGTAAATCCACATTACCTTTATGATGATGTTGCGAATTGGCTCAGCAATGCTGCGGGCTTCTACTTTACCACATGTAACACTTGGTAGCAATGGGGTAAACACAAAGAAATTACGAGGAGAAACAACTTCCACCTCATAAGTAGGGTTATTCAGATTCTTCAAGAAACTCATTCCTGCCCACCCAGTTCCGAGCAGCACTACTTTCTTTTTCTTGGGAGCTACTTCAGATAAAGCATGACCACCATCGGATGCGGTTGCATCAGCATGAGCAATGTGGCCCTGACTGCCATTGTACGTGTTTGCCTCAGGATAAGCTATAAGGCTCCCACCACTGCACAAAAGAAGTAATAGGCCTAGTTGAAGGAGAGTTTCAAAATATAAGTTTTTTTAATTTATCCAAAGAAGCTGCTGAGCTGCTACAGCAGACACCATATAAGTTAAATTACTGTATCAGTATCAAAGATTAGCAAAAGCTATGTGAAGCAAAAACAGCAACTTATCAAATAGACTAAATTGAGGTTGCGGCTGTCACGTTGCGGGTGTTGCGAACGTTACGGCATGAACTTTTTCCTAAAAATAACTATTTTTATGTTACGGATGCGGTTTGCTTTATCGCGGTGACCTTGAAAAATATTACAATGTGACCGTTACACTGCGTGACAGCCGCAATTTAATACTATCATGACAGCCACACATACAAAAGAAAAACATTAGCTATGTGCAGCAAAACAGCAGGACAACACAATATCAGTTTATGAAAACATATCATGAAGTTTAAATGTTTTAGTAAGTTTTAAACAATCAATTTGTTGTTAGAAACATCTTAGAAGCTTTGAATTTATGAGAAAGTGATGCACCTCACCTTAACTTTTCTCTGCTAGTTGTACGTCATTTACATTTGTTTGCTTGCTTGTATGGGATTGTAAATCATGTTGAGGCTTGGATGTTTAAAGACTTGTTGTGGACGTATTGGACGTTAAATTGACATAAAAATATATATTATGACCTCTAATGACTTCAATAAGTTTTAATAATAACATAAGACTTACAACAAGTGTTTTAGTGCGAGACTGGCGTGATTTCCGAGTGATACAGTGCATTTCTGAGTTTAAATATTATAATACTCAATTTTTGTCCGATTCCATTCACGAGCTCAAATAAAATGAAAGTCCATTTATTGGATTTTTTTAAGCGTACTTACCATTTCTAATTGTTTATTTTGACTCACATATACCCAACGATTTAAAACGTTATCGGAAATCGTTGTTTTACGATCATGATACTTATAATGACCATAATAACACCCTTATGTTCGTAATTAGAATAAACATAACACAATCGAAAATATTATTGTAACCGCAATTTAAATTCATTGACAGAGTCAATATACAAAATGAAACCCAAAATTTTCTAGAAAATATCTTTTTTATATAAATTATGTATATAATATAATTATAAAAAATATATTGTTCTTAAAAAAATTTGATACCACGTAAGAAAAATTGATCTTATATTTTCTTTAAAAAAATTATAAAATATCTAGAACTCCATTTCAATCACCAACATTCACCGTCCCCAAAATCTACTATTATTATTAACAGTATATTCACTGGTATAGCATAAAAATATTTATCAAGTAAAATAAGGTTTTAAAGTACAAACAGTTAAAATATAAAACGGTAAAACCACCTCACAAAGACGATCATAGCATAAAAACTTTGTTTCTTTAATAAATATGTATTTATTTCTAGACATCATGATAGTGATAAATGTATATTCGTGCACCAATACAAATCTATGTTTATTTCTAGCTTGGTACCAAGATAGTGATAAATGTGCATACTTGCACCAGTGTAAATATGATGCCTAGAAGTAAGCACATGCTTACATCGACGTAAGTATATACATCTCTCACTATCTTAATCCTAAAAATAAATACATATTTACATCGGTATAAGTATGTATATCTCTTGCTATCTTAGAACCTAGAAATGAATACATACTTACATTGATATAAATATATATATATATCTAGATTAATAAATAAAAATTTAAATAAAAAATAGAGGAATGTATAATTTCAATATTTTATAAAAAAAATTCATTAATAAAGAAAGGAACCAATAAATGAACTTGTTGAACATAAATAAACCATACACTACTTTGTTCGTTTCTATTCATTTATTAAGCGAACATAAAATTTTTGTTCATACTCGTTTTTATAAGTTAATAAACGAATGTTATACGAACAATTCACAAATAATTCATCAAACGTTCTGTCATTTACACCTTTATTTTAGCTATATTCAGGGACATATTCAGGATCAAATATTGAGAGTGACAAAAAAATTTTAAAATAATAAACTTTTTATGCATTTAATCTAAAAATGTGGAGAAGTCTAAATTTACTTAAATTAAAGTGATAAGGACCTAAAATGTTATTAAACCAAAATTTTTGACAGGGGATCTCCCATTCTTTTTATAGCTCCAGCTATATTATATATTAATATATATGATTTTATTTAGAAGTTTTAATTTTATAAAATTATACCACCATAATTTTATATTAATATATATGACTATTTAAAATTTCTAATTTTTTAAAATTATGACACCCTAATTTAAAATTTATGACCCCATGCAAGATTAGAGCACGAAAAGGAACAGCACGTTAAGAAATCAATACACTAACTTTAACAGAATCAGTAGCACCTAAATAGAATAATGTCAAACAAGTCATCGAATGATCAATCGGAAAACCATTACAAGCTTAGATAGATTGAAAAACAACAATCAATAATCTCAAACTAGATCTTAGATATTGAAAGGACGAAACCTCAAACCACAACTTAGATATTGAAACAAAAAACCTCAAAACTCAGAATCTGGAAACGAAGTGGAAAACGGGTCGAGTGGAAGAAACGAAGACAAAATCACTATGAACCATTGTAAAAAAAGAGATTTGGATCTAGATTTTTTTTCCAGATTGAAGAATCTAAAATGAAACACGGTGGTCAAAGGAAAACGCGAATCGATGGAGGACAAACGGAGACCAAGACTTCAATGATCCAGATTCAGATTTAAGATCCGATACGAAGATGAAAGCGAAAAAACATACAGCCAATGATATTGAAACCACGAAGGAACAACCGTTGCATGAGCGACAGTTGATGATCTGAATGATAACAACAGAAGAAAAACGGCTTCATGACCGTCGACTCTGATACCATACGAAAATGCAGCCATGATGAACGATCAGTGATGAATATGTAAAAGAAGAATGAAGAGAACAGCTAGGGTAAGAAACAAGGGTTTTGTCATGTTGATTAAACTACAGAAAATGGATCATATTTATTAATGAGAAATTAATTAAACTGCAATCGTGGGTAAGGGCCAAATTACATATATTTGTAACCTATAAATCTAAATAACTTCGACAAACTAACGGATCAGATTATCTTATTCTTACTATCAATAAATCTATGTTTCTTGAAAGAATTCCTAAAATCGTACTTTTCTAACAGGTGAAATAAAATACAGTTCATTTTAACTAATCATGAATACATTCAAACAAGACAAGATTCAAGAATATAAATTAAGTTATTAGATTTTTTCCCGCTGAATCAAGTTTTCTTTTCTTCACCCTTTTAAAGAACCGAACAAAACTTTAACTTCCTAAGCACGCCGCGACTTCAAATTCACTGTCACCCGCAATTGAACAGAGATGACACTTCCCTTCCTATACTTCAAATACAGTTGCTCTGTTTCCAGAGTTCCAACAAATTACAGAGTTTTACTCCATTTTCAGCTCAAAATCTTAAAAACATTAAACAATCATCAGATCGATTAAAAAACTTATCTAGATCAGAGACGTAGCTACCTACCCTTTGACCTGGGGGGCCATTGCCCTCTATTTTTTATTATTAAAAATGTATGGGAAAATATTAAATTAGGGTCCAAATTTTAGTTTATTTTGATTTTGCCCCCTCCCCTCGTAGAAATTATTTTCTATGGTTAATTATACTTTGATTTCTATAGTTAATTATACTTTGTCCCCTCATTTTTTTATGAATTATGCTTTGCCCCTTAAGTGGAAATCCTGGCTCCGCCCTGATCTAGATCCACATAAAATCAACTAAATTAACAGTATGAACCACGAAGAACAAATCAAAATCACGAGACTAAATCTGTAATAAACAACTAAAATAGAAACACGTCCAAGCACTTAGCCACGCTTTTAACAAGTTCATCAAGAAGCAAAAGGAAATCGAACATTTGTATAAACATGATAAAAATGTCAACCAAAAAAGGAAAGAGAGCAGAATACCTGATAGTAGATACGACGATGATCTTAGAAAGCGAAGGATAATCATTGAAAGCTCTCGATAATCTCCGGAAGAAGTTGAAGCTTCTCATCTTCGTGCTTCCTTTGATCTGCTTATTTTTCACTTGTTTTTAGCTTACGAAAGCCAAGAGATCTGGAGGAAAACCAGAGAGAGAAAACGTTACCTATTAAAAAAAAACCAAAGAAAGCGGTAGATGAACGCGAGGTTCGTGGCGTTGTCTTGTATGACGATGGTTCCAGATCTTTAACGGTAGGCTTTTGTCAATGACGTGTGTGGATCCAGCCAATATGTTTTTGGAATTTATATTAAAATATTTCTTAAATAATATCTCTTAGGGGGGTTCATTTTTCGATTTTAATCGAATTAATCAATTGAATCGAATTATTTCGGTTAATTCGGTCGGTCATCAAATTAGTTCGGTCGGAGAATGGTTAATAAATTTTTTAGAATTCGATTAACGGTTAATTCAGTTCAAAATCGAAATTAAATTTTAAATTTTAAATCTATTATATATAACATATGGGCTAAACTTAAACCATTTAAAACTCAATCAATAATTTAAGATCCAATAAATTTTAAACCTAAATCAATATTAATTAATTAAAAAATCTATATATTATTTAAATTAATTGTAAACTATTTTTTTAATTAAAAAATATTTCAATTGTTATATAAATTAGAATTTCTTTTAAAAAAATCGGTTAATTCAAAAATTGATTGAATTAACCGAAATTTGTTAGGTTCGGTTAATAATTTTCAAATAAATTTCGGTTCGATTAACGGTTAAAGAAAAAAAATCAATTAATTCGATTATGATTAATTCAATTCGATCAATGACCGAATTAACCGTTTGAACACTCCTAATATCTCTGGATTCTTAATTACGCTGCCACGACCACAATATTTGATTTATAACATCTCTTTTTTAGGGGTGCAAATTAAGATGATTTAGTTAATTATTCATCAATCGTTCCTATAGCGTTCGTTTGTTAAGTTAAAATAATGAGCATGAATAAAAATTTTATGTTAATTTAATAAACGAATGAGCACAAACAAAAGGGCATTTGATTCACTTATATTCATGAACAATCGATTATGAGCTCGTTTATCGACTTTTTCATTTATGTTTATAAACAATATTGTTTACTTGGTTCTCCTTTTTATTTTATTTATTTTTACATTTTAAATATTGATGAATGTATTGATTAAATTGAACACATGATAAAAATCAAAATTTAAACTGTGAATTTTAAAGAGTTTAAACACTAGTAGCGTAATTTTATTATTTTTCTTTATCTTGCAAATGAAAGGTTAAAACTAAAAATTATACATAAAAGAATGATAAACGAATCCTAAATGAACGGTAAACAAACATTAAATGAACGCTAAATAAACACATTTGTGGACATATAAATGAACATGTTCGTAAATATTAAACAAATATTTCATAAACAATAAATAAACAATAATCTTATTTGTTCAAACTCGGTCAATTTACACCCTTTCTTTTTTTGAAAACATTTTATACGTTGGATTTGAATTGAACTTTTTACAAATGGTAACATTTTGTTTTGTAAATTATAAATTTAGTAGTTGAATAATTTTATTATTCTTATTTCATTTTATCAAAATTTAAAAAAATTGAATTTATTTAAGACTTTTCAATCAATTTTCTAATGAAACCCTAAGATGCCCACAACTTCTCTGACTTCTCATGAAGGAACATCGGATGACCGAAACCCTAAGAAACCAAGGCAGTTTGGTGACGAACCACCGGACGAGCCAGGTAACCATGGCGATAGCATGGACATGGATGCGAACCATCTTCCCCAAGCCTTTCCCCAACCTGCTACCTCCTTGAAGTTGATCTCCTATCATGATACTCTTATGAGCGAAAACCCTAATCACGACGATTCAATGAATGACTCCTTCGATGATGAAGACATCGAAGTTCTAGAAAGGTATGTGAAGCGGAATACGATTGATGGCATGATCTCTATTGAGTTCTTTGAGAGAATCCAAGCAACTACTAACAAGGCCTTTGATCAAACAGTCATCGTGAAACTCCTTGGTCGTCGTATCAGGTACACGACGTCGAAGAACAAAATCCAGGAACTCTGGAAATCCAAACATGTCATTCGCTTAATGGACGTTGAGAACGACTATTTATTCATCTCGTTCTACTCGCATATAGACTACCTGACAACACTCTCAGATGGACTGTTGACCCTTTTTTGTCGCTAGTTGACTATTAAACCTTGGTCCCCAAAATTTTCCACCTCTCAAGCCTTCCCAAGAAAAATCATGGCGTGGATCTGATTGCCTGGGTTGCAGATTACTTTTTATAAACGCAACTTGATCACGGAGATAGGCAAAAGCATTGGTACCACCATCAGAATCGACTATCAAACCGAATTTGGCAGAATGGGCCACTTTGGCATAATGGGCCACTTTGCAAGAATGCCAATAAGTATCGATCTCAATAAGCCCCTAGTCTCGAAGTTACTCATTAATGGTCGAGCTCAGCTTGTGGAGTATGAGTCACTCCCAACGATTTGCTATTCCTGCGGTTGCTACGGCCACGTCCAAGACATCTGTCCTAAAAAAATAAATCCTTTTGAAGTTGTTACTGAAGCCTCCGCAATGTAGACTATCTAACCGAAAATCAATGTTCGAAACCATGCAGCCGATTTTGGTCTATGGATGGTCGTTGAATGACGTCCAAGACGTGTCAATAAAAAAGGAGAATTTGCAAAGACTCAACATAAGGAGAATAGTGGTTCGAGGTTTTAACCAATTGCCACTATACAAGATGAAGGACCTTCGACTTCACCCCTTGGGGATGAATCGGCGGTTACTCTGAACAATAAGGATACCCCATCCTAGTAACGCATCAGTCTCAAAAGTTACGGAAAAAATATCCCGGTCACTCCCCAGACAAATCAGTGGCTCTTTCTGCAAAACAAGTACCCCTCCAAGGGTTACTATTCTCGACTGTGCAAAACACACAACTCTTGTTCTCATTGAAAATGAGGACCCAAACTAATGCTTAGGTGCCCAAAGTTGTCTCCCCCATCATCCAACAACTATGGGCACACACCCCAATGTACCACTGGACATTGATTCCATAATTGAGACCAATGTCGTTATTCCCACCTAATGAGAAGTAGAGAATAGGTGATTACACAGGAAAAGCTTATCTCTTATTATCAACATGAGCAGCAATTTATAAGTGTACAATGGCTCAATAACGGCTCAACAAACTCTCTCTAACTGCTTAACAGCCTTAGCTAACTTTTAACAAACTAACCACCTGTTTAAAGCACATACACGTGAATGCACAGCACATGCATAGACCAGAACCATACGCATATCAACAGTCTAACACCACCCTTTTTCTTGAGTCCCGCACAATCGCGCAAGTTGCATGCCCCATACAGATGGAACGTACCATGCAATCGGCTGATGACGCCATGAGATCTTAATTGGATTCATCTTCTCCTTTCCCTTTTATGGAATTTAAATTCTTTTGTTGGAACATTCAGGGCAGCGACCATCCCCAATCTCGCATCGTTGTTCGTCAATATTTTAGAGAATTTTGTCCGGATGTCATTGTCTTTATGGAGACTCGCATAAGTGAGGAAAGAGCTGATGATTTCGAGTTTCCCACGGCTCCTCTGGTCTTTCCTCCTTGGAAACTTTGGTTTACGCCAACCCAAACACCTCCAAATGTAAACATATCTGGCCCCATCTTAGTGCTCTTGCAGACTCTATTTCCTCCCTATGGATTATTTTGGGAGACTTCAATGCCACCCTTTTTACTACTGATCGACGTAATCTTACAACCTTTTCTCAGCCAAGTAAGAACTTTCAATCTTTTGTTTATAACTATGTCCTTCGGGACATGGGATTCAAAGGCCCGGGTTTTACTTGGAATCGTGGGAATTCCTTTGTCAGATTGGATCGTGTTCTCTGTAATAACCACTGGGATGAGCGCTTCCCGGAATCCGTTCTCCACCACATCCACCGTATGCGCTCTGACCATCGGCCTTTACTTTTCAGAGTTCGCTATTCCGCTTCGGCCAAAGGAAAACATCACTTTTGTTACTTCATTAGAAGGACCCAACATGAAGACTTTCAAAGAATGATAATGTAAAATCCCAAACATCGGGTTAATGACTAAAGTGTTAGGATTTAAAATTTAGCGGTTTAATTTTGATAAATTAAAATGTTCAATGATTGATTTGGAAAATTTTGTTTAGGACATATTATTAAAGATTGAATGATGGAAGAGAAAAATCGTATTTTGGCATGAAATGAATTTAAAATTCATTTTAAGGTTATATATCATGTGAGGAAAAGGAAAGAAATGCCTATAACTTTTATCTTCATCTTTTCTTCTTCATTTTCCACCGTGACTCCATTGCCAAGGTGAAAATATTTTAATTGATTGTTTCTTGTATTTTTTTAGTTGGTTTTGAGTTCTTGGGGTGGTATAGAAGCTTAAGAAAGCTTAAAGATGACTAGAAACTATATGATTGATGAGTTAATGGTGATTTGGTAAAAAGGGTTTTTGAGGGATTTGAGGACATTGATTACTAGTTGGATTTTTAAAGATATATTTGACTTGACAAAGGTCTAATTAAGGTGTTTGAAGTATTAGAAAGGATTGGGAACATGTTTGAAAAATGGGTGTGATTTTTAGTTTTAAGTGTTCTAGTGAACATTTTGGATGTTAAAAGGGGATTTAATGGATATAAGTTGGTTGTGATAAGTGTTATTGAGTTTAAGGGCTTTGTTGAAAACATTTTGATATTTCGATATAACAAATTAAGTTAAATGAATTTTAAGATTTTCCAAATGATTTTCTAAGTATATTCGATAGAATTATTCGAATATCAAAACATTACTCCAAATCTTTCAAAGATCATTTTTAATCCTTACTCAAAGTGTAAAATTAAGTTTTAATCTTAAAACAATTTCAAAATAATTTTACAAAGTATTTCGAACCATTTCAAAGCCAAAAATTTCAGATTGCTCAGAGGGAACAGATTCCCCCCTAAGGGGGTACCGATTCCCCCCTGAATGGTTTGGCTCCGAGAATTCCAGTATGCTCGGAGGGAACCGATTCCCCCCCAGGGGTACCGATTCCCCCCTTGTATAA